AATGTTCTTTCTACCTATTCAACCTTTGGATCTAATGTTAGTAAGAGAAAAGTTATATTTGCTGTGATCGCTCTGTTCTCCTGCAGATTGTTAAAGTAGCTGCTGGCAGGGCTAACAAAATTGCCTTACCCAGGCTTAGATCAAACCAAGTGTCATTACTGTAGCCTTGGATAGATTAACACACTTCACTTAAATCCATACACTACACCTTCAATCCAATTACCACATGTGTTAAAGGCACGTAGTTGCAGAATAGCTGTGTTTATTATCCCCTCATGAAAGCACTCAGACATGTTAGCTGTTCTCTTAATGAGATGAACATACAGGGAGCACGGAACCTCATCACTTTTATGCACTGCTAGCCAGCGCCTCATTACACGAAGGTCATCATCCCCATATCTTTGATTTATTACTGTTTGATGGGTGATGCATTGGTTCTGTTCATAACCACATTTTTTGTGTTGTGTGTGTGTGTGTGTGTGTGTGTGTGTGTGTGTGTGTGTGTGTGTGTGTGTGTGTGTGTGTGTGTGTGTGTGTGTGTGTGTGTGTGTGTGTGTGTGTGTGTGTGTGTGTGTGTGTGTGTGTGTGTGTGTGTGTGATTGGACTTGTTTGTGTGAATAGATGATTGGGAAGAAGCCTACCAGTCACTGAGGCAGGTTGTGAAGGAGTACCTGTTGCTAGAGGAGCAGGAAGAAGGAGAGAACAACAACAGAGGATCCCCTGACAACACCTCCAATAGTGTGTTTTTGATTGCTTGTTCAGATCATCATTAGCAGACTATTTTGTGATGCAAGACGCTGGCTGCATAGTGCAGTCCAGGGCACCTTGCAAGGCTTTTTTTATTTTATTTTTTTTAATGGGCAATCAACCATTTTTTTGAAATGCCAAAGAACATGTACATGACAGGAAATGTAAGGACAAATACATGTATAATATCTTCTTTGGCTCTGGAAGGCTTTGCAGTCAAGGGTTTCATTATGTGATGTGAAAATGAATTATTTGTGTATCATGACCCATGCCAGACTCCAAGAGTCATCCAGTGTATCTGCTTTTATTGTACATACGTTTTGTGCCTGAATGTTATTTATGCTGTTGCCATCATACACAGTATTACCAAGAAGTATTGATATACACCGTCCGTCTCTTCCTCTCTCAGGTCACGAGCCCGAGGAGAAGCTACCCTCACCGAGGTCTGGATCCGGCGCATGTGCATCTCACTCTGCCACACCTATTGACCCGTCAGATCCATCCTACAGGAACTATTTTACCAAGATCCAGGCAGAGCTCAGCCCTCAGAAGAACCCTGTTGTGAGTAACAATATGTCTAAAAAAATGAATTTATCTTCCTTACTGTCGAACATAAAAGCTCCCTGGACCCACTATATTCCACTTTTCCACCCTTTCTCCTATCTCATTTAATCACCCTTCACATGGACAACTGTTTCTCACCTGAAGTTCCTGTTTGTCTCCCATTCCTTTTATCACTTCTACTCATCCTCTTCCCTCTCCTCTGCAGGAGCTAGCTTCCATCAGGAGGCGAGAGCATCTGGTGAGAGAGGCTATGTTAGGGAAGAGTCCAGGGGTCTACAGCCAGCTCTTCAAAAGGTCCATCATAAGTACTCCGCTGCTCTCAATGATTAATTTCAAGTGGGCACACTTCACTGGTTTAATTTGTGCACTTGTCCTAAATGGTTTGTTTAGGGTATTGTATGACCTTGAAGGTGAAGAGGCAGGTGGCCTCATTATTTTGAGTGTTTGTTAATATGATGGGCTTGTGTAGTGTACTCTCTTCTCAGTTGTCCTAAAATATACCTGTCACCACTAATAACTAATCCACACCTGAATGAAAATATATAAATATTTTTAAAAAAATGTTTCATATTCTTTATAGTCACTTGGAGCAATTATTGAATCCCATTTTTTTTCTCAGCTCTGCTCAATCAGCACCTTCATCCCTGCAGAATCCTGATTTGAATGAGGCCAGCAGGTAAGAACACACACACAAATGTACAATTCATCTACACACACACTACTAATGCAGTCAACAGTACAGCCAGATGTTACTGCATGAAAAAAACAGACGTATCATACCTTCTTCAAAGTTGTACAAGGTTTTGCTCTTTATGGTTTCTAAATGCATAATAATGGCTTTTTGATTTAAGATGCGGTGTATTATGAGCCTTATAAAGCAAGCCTTATGGTTTCATTAAAACAATGTGAAGATTTAGGAGCAGGAAACTGCTTTAGTTGTAGTTATCTTTGCTCCCTGTGCCTGCTTTTAAAAACATATGTTCACTTTTATAGAGCTCATTCTACTGGTGCTGTATATGTGAGGACAAATCTGAACACATATGCTCAGTACACACTTGCTTACACACAAATACACACACTAATACACTCTGGTTTTAGAGCTTTTGCTGCTTTTTCGACTCCCCTGTGTGTACACTTACTCTCAATAAACATGCTTACTGCACAAATATGGATTTAATCAGACCTTGACATAGTTTGTGTGGTGTGTGTGTTGTGAATGCAAAAGCACACACAGATTTGTTTCACCTTTACAAATTAGCAGAAGATGACATTTTAGATACATGCATAGATTCAGAGCATGTAGAGTCAAAATGAATTTGTTTCATGTTCTCAGAAGGTGAGTTTCACCAAAGTTCTGTCAACACGATGTGAGTGATTCGTGCCCTCAGTCTGTAACGCTAGCATTACTCAGCCCTTCAGAATTTCTATAAAAAATTCCAGACACCTTTCTAGCTGCCCTCTTAATAGGGATGTGTCTTTACTTGTGCAGGTCTGTCTCAAAGAAACAGAGGGTGCTTTTGTATTTCTCTGGTAGGCTTGTTTTCCTTATACTGTAAAAACCCATGTCTGTTTGGGTCAGTGTGCTTGCTTGTGTGTATGCATCTACATTAACTTCGTAGACATGTCTTGATTAGTCAATTCAATGGCAGAAATACATACCTGCTGGTTTGATCGTTTAAAACAAATAGTCAAAGCCAAATGAGTGATCTTGGATATTTAGGAACACTTTTAAAAGTACTGTCAGTTGCGGGTGGTTTCAGCAATATGATAAAGCTTCCATAAGCACATTCTGCTGAAGTTTCTGAAAGCATTACCTCCCCTCTATCTATTTTTGGGCGTTTTTCCTCCTTTAATTTCTGGTCTCTTCAACAACCTAATTTTGGTTTCACTGCACACATCACACCTCTTGCTACCTGAACGACTTCCTCCCTTTCCTCTCCTTGTTCTTGTCTGTCCCTTTTTCCCTCACCCTCTGTGACTTGTCTTTCCTCCATCCCTTCTTTTCCTCCCTTTTACAAGCAGCTCTGATGAGTCTTGTGCCAGTTCCGCGCTGACTGTGCCCGGTTCAGCCGGGGGCTTGAATGATTCAGTGGAGCCGCAAGACATATCTGTCCTGGGACACAACTTGGAAACACTCAAAGGTTATTGCTGCTTTTTTGCTTAATTTAGGGCATTTATGTGTTATGAATAGATAGGACAGAGAGGAGAGATTCACGAGCAGCTAAAGGCCAGGGAAAGGACAGTTTAGCAAGTCATTTGTACACTTGTTCTGCATTAAGTTTTAACATGTTCCTATATTTCTCATATTCCAATTCATTTATAGTCTAAAAACAGTCTTCATTGTTTTTTAATGACCACTATTCAAATTGATTATAAGATAAGTGAGCTGTCAGTAACTAAGTTCAAAAGATTGCATCAAGTAAAATATTCCCCTTCCTTCCTCAGACCAAACTCCAGAAGCCACCCGTCCAGGCACAGATCTGCTAGATGTGGTCGTTTCTCCCTCCTCAGATAAACGTCCTGGGTCCAACAACAAACCTATCCTGCCACCAATCCCTGCTGGGCGCAAGACCCCTGCATCTCCAAGCCCGGCTACGTCCCCCAGACCCAGCCCACAGCCAGCAGGAGGGGAGGGCGGAGATGTAGACCGGGAGGGATAGCTCTTAAGGGTTCAGATTATCTGACAACTGACAAAGTTGTGAATCTTAAAGTCTGATAGGCTTCTCAAAGCAACTGCTTTATGAAGGATACATTCATTTAAAATCAGATGAAATTAGATCAATCAATATATGCATTATAGTCGTCAAACAAATATAAGCATTCCTCTCAAAGGTCCGTACCTGCAAAAGTTAAAAGAGGGCCGCAAACCACACATTTGTTGCTATCTTTACACAAACTACACAGCGTGTGATACATGGCGATACACACACTTGTGGCGTCATCCTCTCAGCACTAGTCTTTTCCTGTGAGCTGTCACTCATGCAACAGCACGTCTGGATCTGCTGCACTTGCTTTATACGATGTAAATGACGGTGTTAATGACCATATATAGAAGGGGACTTCAGTATAATTATAGGCAAAGTTGTTATTTTCCTCTTTCAAATGACTAGTTTACAGGCCTTAAGGTATGTAGCGTTGACATATATTATGATTAGAGCTCATACACCATTAGTGTTTATTATTTACTATTTATTTTGTTTTCAAAATAACATGTTCCATTCTTGACTAAAGGATCTGGCTGTTTCTCTTGGAAAAGTGAATGTGCACAAACTGCGTGGTGTCATGTTTTAGGAATGTAGCATAAGCTTTCCTGACAGTGAAGTGGCATTATATTTCCCCCTGTTTAGTAATCTCATGAAATAGGGTTTGCCATTGACATCTGGATACTGATCTTTCATATGCAGCATACAGCTCTTGTCACTGGATGATAAATACATAATTAATCTTTATCTATTCTAATGGGATTATTTATTCAACTGGAAATGTGTTCATATGGAAGTTGTTGACAGGTATTAAACAGTGAGCCATCACAAACAACTGTGTGTATCATTGTCAGTTTGTGTGTGTATGTGTAGCACACAGCCATGCAACTTGTGTGTTTGTGAATTTTGCACAATGTTCATTTTTGATTCACAGTAAATATAAATTATCATCTGTCACAGATGTATGCTTTGCTTATTTAGCCGGTTCCTCTGCCGGCAGTGTTGTGTATGCAGAGATTCTGCACCCACGCAAAACACACCTGGCCATCCATCACTGTCTGTCTTCCTCTCATGCAGCAGATGTTGCAACCCTGTCATATTTTGTTGGCAGTTTGAAACTAGACAGTGTGTTTTGGGCCTCTGGGGTCCAACCCACTTACTTTGCAGTCTGTGTCCTTTACTAAAGCACATCATGGACTAACATGTCGGCCCCCTAGCTTTAACGTAACACTGGACACAGCTAGCCTATCTGCATAATAAAGGTTTGCCACAACCTTTGAGCATATAGAACATGAGGTCGAGATGGGAGGATGAGTGACTGGGAGCTTTGCAAATTCACCCTCTGACAATGTACTCTCAATGCATTCATTTCTCTGCTTACCATCTATCTTTCATGCGTCTGCACCTGTAATTGTTTGTCTGTTTTCCTACCTGTTTGCAGTGTTAGATTCAATGACTACGGGAGCTACTGGGTATAAAAAACTATATAGAAAATCCTAATGTTTACAAAAACAAATATTTTACAAGTAAGGAAACTCTTGCATTAAACATTCACAGTATAGTTATCTGTCATAGCAACAGTTGTATTTATCTCTCTCTGCTGGTGTCTGCATCACAAAACATAAAGAATGTTAAAACAGAATACAGTATGACTGTGCAACACACCGCTTTCCTCCCTTCACCAGCTGCTGTAAAATAAACATGTCCCACACTGTCATCTTGACTTAACTCCGCAAGACAGCAACATTTCACCAAAGAGAAAAGGAAATCACGTTTTCTGGGAGAAACAAAAACTTGCATGCATCTAAGATTTGTGTCTGCAGGAAAGAGTCGTTATGTGAGAGATATGCAGAAGCACGTTATCAGCTTTCAAAGCTTAAGTGCCTGATGTTGTGAATGTATTTGTTATGATGTTTGTAATACATAAACTAGAGAAGGACAGAACATGAATCTATATTTTCATTCCAGAGAGGATTTTGTTAGAATTACCATAAATGGAAAGAAATAACAGCAATCATTACGACACCGAGCAGATATTACCTTTGTGTCTAATACTGCACCAGGAACTTGAGTAGTAACATTCATTTGGGAATAAGAAGAGGATGGAAATAACACATCTAAAGTCAGGGGTTCAATCCCCATCGACAGTTTTAGATTTTAGAACTATGCTTTATTTGTACTAAACTCTACTTTACTAATCTTTAATACATTATACTACACTGGACTTTAGTAAATAGGATTATAATAAACTCTTGCTATAATAAAACTGTTAACATACACCTTTCTATTTCGTAAAAATAAATATAATCTGAAATGTCCTGTAATGTATTCATTGAAATGTAGTCATTTTCAGCAGTCAGCTTCAGTTTACTACAACGATAACCTTTCATTGCCAGAGCGATTTCCACATTCCATTTCAATCTGCCATCAAAGATTAAAGCTCTGACTTAAACTTGAGAGATAGATGAAAAACAATCTGTGTTTGAATTGTATTTAATAGCAGCTTTCAATTATACCACCTGGTTTAAAGCAGCAGTCATTTGTTACTACACAGGTCCCTGAGTTACAGCTAATTCCCTTTCCTGTGGGGTTTCCTTTTAAAGTGTCTTGTGAATAGGCAGTAGGGAAGTGTGTCTGTGTGTGGGGGGGGGGATTATGGAGAATGGACTTGGAGAATAGTCTGTGAAAATATATAATATTTTACAAGTGCAGCTGTAAACGTGTAAACCAACCTTTGCAGGAGCAGTGACACACCCACTCATTTCAAGTTTGAATGTACACATCCTTCCAACAGCGATAAAATGGTATTCTCTATCTTTGATGTTCTGCTCTTTGAAGAGAACCAGTATTATATGTACGTTTGCATTAGTAATTCTTCTAGTACAGATGATGTTTTAACGTGTATTTTAACAGGCGGGTTGGTAAGGTCGAGGACAATAAGGGCCGACAGCTCCCAGGTGTTTTGGATTTGTGCTGAACTTGCTGTTTTTATTACTGGACATTTGATGGAAGTATGTTTGAGCATCATGGATGACTAACTTAAGCTCTAACCTTCTTGTGCAGTGTTCTCCACTTTGAACTTTTTATCCTTTTATTTGATTCTTTCTGAGGCTCTCTCGAAGTGATAGAAAGTTACTTGGAACATTTACTCAATACATGTACTTAAATGCAGTTTAAAAGTCGCTTTTACTTTACATGATGTGTTTCTATTTGATTCTACTGTATACATAGATTCTTTTTACTCTTTTGTATTCATCTCCAACTATATTTACTTGCTACTTTACATATATAGATTATAAAAATAATCTGTCAGTAAAACATGCATCTTTCATTAGAATCAGCTCTCCAGGCAACATTAATCTGCTGATTAATTGTTCATCGAATAGTTATAATAAGTCAATAAGAAGATATTCCTGGTATACTCACCTTAGTTCACTTGTAAGATACCACGGCGCTCTCTACTCTCTCTTATAAACGTTTTATGTTTGATATATTTTACAGATTTTATGTCTGTCCTTTCACTAAACTTAATCTTGAATGCAGGGCTTCAGTGCATTATGTGAATACTTCTTTCATCTCAGATTACAAACACACATCCTTTAAATCACATTTACACATAGACAGGCAGGAGGCAGTGTTCAAGGCACAGTAAACAGCATTAGAATCAGTTTATCAGGTTGTCCAGTCCCCCTTTATAACCAACCAAAGGAACACTTCCCCTTAGGCCCTGACTTGAAGCTCTTATCTTTCCAATGCAACATATTTTCTTTCAGTATGCCATGATCCACAATTAGCATAGGGATGGTACACCTCAAGGGTACGAGCTACAGATAGGAGTTAAAGATGGATTAGACGTAGCTATGTCGACAGGAACACTCCGGATTTATCTCTGCAACCTTTCCCTCTCTGTGCTTTTAGAGGATGTGGGGATAGGTCAGGGTGGTGATATAATGAAAGCCTAAATAAGACGCACACACAACACACACCACTGCATTAACTCTGCCGCATGATGTGGCGCCACACTCAGTAACTATGGCAACGGCACACTGCACTGCACCTCACTATGTGTGTGTGTGTGTGTGTGTGTGTGTGTGTGTGTGTGTGTGTGTGTGCATAGCTCCTCACTGTGTTCCCCGCGGACAGATTCATTCCCTGCCAGATTCATTCCCTGTCAACTTGCTGAAACAAAAAGTTTCTGTTTTAATTACTTTGGTGCAGTGTCTCGCTTCATCCATCTATCTGTATAGTGTCTCCCTCTTACTCTGACTGTCTCCCCCTCTCCTCCTTCACTCCTCCTCTTGCTTTCTAGTGTAATTAAAGACAGTCAGTGCGGATAATAGAACTGTAATAGTGTGTAATTGCAATAATCAATACACAGTGCATACTAAGGAGCTCGCTATTCATCAATATACAGGCAGGATGTGTCAGGGAACACACTTGGTCCTCATTGATTTACATGTTTTGTATGCTTTAATTGGTCATGGACATTTGATCATCTTTGAATATGTATATACTTGTGGGTTGTGTAGCAATTACTATATCATCTATCATACAGTATATTAGCCTTAAGGGAATAGTTTGACATTTTGGGAGAAACACTTTTTCACTTTCTTGCCAAGAGTTTAAATCTCTCTCTCATATATATACTGTAAGTACTCAAATATTTTATATAAAAAGTTGCAAAAGGAATAAACAACACCAAAGAGATCTGTAGATACTGTAGTAGCCAGGCCCTTGTCTATTTTACTCTAAATGGAGCATTGAAGAATACTTGAAACTAGGGATTGAGACCATAAAATCATGTTTACAATGTTCACACAGGTAAAAATCTTCTCAAGAAGTAATTATGTTTCTCATAAATTTCTATACAGTCAGTCTCTTTGATAATGTATTTTTCTTACATCAAAGTAACTTACAAATGAACACACTTTTTAGACATCACATTGACCGCGACCCGACCACGGATAAGCAAGAGAAGATGGATGGATGGATGGACATCACATCACACAGGATTTGTTTTCTTCTTAGCTAGCTTGCAAATATTGGTAAGATAGCGATAGCACAGCAATAATGTCCAAAGAAGCCTTAACTTAACAGTAGAAGGATCAAAACACTCCAAACAAACACACACACAACCCCACTGCCTCCATGCCACATCTGGCTGCTCCCCTCTGGCTGTGTGGGTCAGGTGGATGGGGTGGACATGCCCAGACAAATACCCTTACTTGAACAATACTGCCCCCTCCAGGGTGGGCTGACCTCACCTGTGAGCCGGGGAATGGCAGCCTGAGGGAGGCATGGTTACAGCTGTGCTGGGGATGGGAAGGAACAAAAGGAATCTTGGCTTTATTTCTTGCTTTCTAGTCAGAGGGGGTTTCATTTTTCTCAACATTAGAGTGCCTGCATTTGATCTCCGCTTTGATTTTTTATAAGGTCTGACCTGTGATCGTACTTTTGACCTTTGGTTCGATGTTGGCTTTCCAAAAGGTGATGACAGCAGCTATCATAAACCTTTCCGTACCCTCTCACCATGCAGCTCTCTTATTCTCATATCATATCATACCTCTGGCTGTCTCCCTCTCCTCCACCTCCATGTGTTTCTCTCTTTCTGCAGATGTTATTCCCCCCCCCCGAGTAGTCTCCATCACCTCATCTTTCTTTATTCCACCCTTTCATCTCCCGTGAGAAGTGGGGAACCCCACAGTATAACAACTAGTAAGACTAGACCAAACCAAAGATGCAACATGTGTTAGCGATTAAAAACAAAAAGGTCCTTCTTTCTTTTTATGCCCCCTTTGTCTCTGTTTAGGATCT